GGCTGGCCAGGGAGCAACCCACATGGTACGTGTATTTCAGTGGATCTGCCTGTTCTGCTCCCTGCTCTCTCTGGTGAGTCTTTTCACGCCCCGCACTTCTGGTCTACACCCCAGTTCTTGTATGCATAAATAAATAAATCTTTTTTTAAAAAGTAAGTTTTGGCTTGAAACAAATGTTTGGGAAGCTAAATGAATTAGTTATATACAATATCATAAACTATGGGCAAGTTAACATTGTCTTAAGTAAACTCTGTAGTTTATGAGATATATTGATTCGAAGGAAAAATTATATTAGTGGGTTAGCTAAGTTATGTCCTATAAATAAATCAAAAACAATGTCTTAATAATAGAAGAGAATTATTTCATGTAAAAACAGGTGAATAATTTAGTCCTAGAGTCATTAGATGAAACCAAATAAAGCAGGAGTCTATGCATGGTGGGTGAACCATGGTGGACCAGAAATGGGATGAGGGCAGCCCCAAAGGAGCATCACGTGGGTATCAGAGCCTGTACAAGGTGAGGAAGACATCTACAAGGGGCAGAGGTGGGAGAGTGTCAGAGTAAAAGAGAGGTAAAGAGGATGTTTAGTTGGTGGGGCAACCTGGAACAGAATATAGGAGCAAAAGTGGGGTGACCATGCATCATGAGGAGAGCTTTTGCACCCAGGGGGAGCATGGTGCAGAATTTCAGAACTCAAGGAGTAAGAGGAGTATCCATGAAGAAGGGGAACCTGGTGCAGGATATTAGACCCCCGAGTGGAATGAAGAGGACATTCATGTAGAGAGAGATTGAGTGTAGGTTGTCAGAACCCAAGCAGTAAAAAAAAGGATATTTATGCATGGGGAAGCACTAGTGCATGCAGTAAGAAAAGCTTCATCCTATAGGGGACCTTTGGATGAGGTGTCAAACTCAAGTGAAGGAGGAGGGTTTCTTTGTGAGGGGATGGTGGCAGTGAAGTTTGGTTACATCAGGGGATAGATCATACAAGTAAATACATTGAAAATCATGGATATCAGGTTTCTCATTGTCAGCGGGGATTACAACTATGGAAAGGAAACACAAACTCTATGGTATTAAATTGCAATTGGAAGTATTTATGAAAACTCATAGATTTCAATAAATGTATAAGAATAAATATAGATGTAAATGTGTATATGCATTATGTGCATGCACATGCTTCCTAACTCTTTCATTGAGAGCACCTAGGGACAGAGACACCCCCACAACAATGAACACATACCTGAGTTCAGATCTTGGCCTCCAAACACCATTGTCCATTAAAAAGAACTAGGGCTTCTTAAAGAAATGACTGACTCTAAGGCTGAGCAAGAAAAAGAACATGTTCTGGGACATCTTGGTGTGCCAGAAAGTAGGACATGTTCAAAAGTGATGTGTCAAAATGACACAGAAGTCTACTTCAGGGACTGTCCCTTTAACCAGATGAGGGGAAATTTCAACATCACAATAAATAATTAGGTTATATAACTCATTAAATAAAATAAGAAGTCATGAGTGCCTACTGATGTAAATAAGGTTTTTTTTTTAAATAGAGGCATGTTTTATTTATTTATTTATTTATTTATTTATTTGTTTGTTTATACATGCACTGGGTACAGTCAGAAGCGCGGGAGGGTGAGAGAATTCACCAGAGGCAGAGCGGGGAGCAGAGCAGGCAGAAGGACCGAAGTACACTGCTGAGGGGAGCAGCGGGCGGCAGGAGAGGTCTGCGCGCCATGTGGAACCCTCCTCTGGTGGCCGGGGAGCAGCCGGAGATTGAACCTGCGTTGCAGAGGCCGCGGGCAGCTCCGCAACCCAGCGCTCAACCGCTGCGCCACCGGGGAGGCCCGTAAATAAGGTTTTTGAAAAACAGAATATTTAGATTTAAATTACCTTCTCTATAAAATACTCCATTACAAAGGGGAACAAAATAACATTGTGGAGAAACCTAGTAGAACTCAATCAAGTGTTCAAAGTTAAATATCGCCAGTAATGGGACAAATTAAAGTCATGTGCTACCGATAGGAAATAATGAGAACACAACTCCACATCTATAACATGCTGCCAAAGTTGTTTAACCTGAATCAAATCATGAGAAAACTTCCAAAAAGCCTTAAATGAAGTAACTTGTAACTTGTCTAGCTTATGAAAGTCAAGAAAATATGACCTATCGCTGACCGGATGAGACTAAAGAGATACACACAAGCAATATGTGATTTTGAACTGTGTTTTGCTTTAGAGGATTTTATTTGGAACAATTGATGACACTTGAATAGGATTTAATGATTATATGGTAATGAAATATCAGTGTTAATTTCCTGACCTTGATGGCTTTATTGTGATATGTAGGAGAATGTCCTTGTTTACAAAAAAAAAAAACCAACAACAACAACACTGAAGTATTCAGCCATATTAGAGCATCATACCAGCAACTACTATTAAATGGTTAGAGAAAGAAACATTTTTTATAATGTACTTATAGGAGAGATTAAGTACATAGGTACTTAGTAATAGGTACATAGGTACTTAAGTACATAGGTACTTAAGAAGAGGTTATAGGTCCTGGGAAGGAATAAGACCTCTGGCCACTCAAAATATTCCAGAGCTCCTTTCTACTCTTTTCTGCCTGTTTCCCATACAATAGCCATATTGATAGGGACCCAGATACCCTGAGAATTCTTAGGTAGTACCTATAAGAAAGGACCCAATGGTAATTATGGTGGCTGCCTGATTTCTTTATTATAACCTTTTAGAAATACATATGTATATTTTGAGATAATTGCACTAATATTTGAGTTTTTGAATTTATGAAATAGTTGTTATTTCCAGGTATTTTCTAGTAGTAAAACAAACTTGCTTTTTAGTTACATATTTGAGGTGTGTAACAATGTTGTTTTGTATTCTGAAGTCATACCTTTATTCTATTCTAAAGTCATACCTCTAAAGGCTTTGCAACTATTTTCAGTATCTTAGCTTTTAAATTATTGCTGCTAGATTGCATTAATATTTACCATCTCATTTTGGAAACTTTGTTTCAATTCTGGTGTGATTCAGTTTGCTAAATACTTGTGCATTTCTTATATGGTTAGAAATACAATTACCAAATGATAAACTCTCCCTCTATGGTCCCTTCTTAGTTAATGATGTCATCACCCATCTGGTTGCCTAGGAACATGGGAATCACATTAACATCCTCCCTGTTCCTTCAACACACACACACACACACACACACACACACACACCCCTCCCCGCCCCAACCCTGGTTGTCCTTAAGTTTCTTTTCTCTGATATTTTTTTCCTCCTCTGATCTTGTCTGGAAACATCTCTGCCTCAAAAAAACCTTCATAATAAAATTAATAATGGTAATAATAAATGGTAACAAACAGCTTTTAAAATGTTGATAATGTTTCAGGCACTATTCTCAGGGCTTTGCAAGTACTATCTCATTTACTGCTCAATTAGAAAACGTGACTATTTCCAGGCCTCCCCTGGTGGCGCAGCAGTTGAGCGTTGGGCTGAGAGGCTGCCCACAGGATCTGCAGCGCCTGTTCATTCCTCAGCTGCCGGCGAGGGTCCCACAAAAAAAAAGAAAAAGAAAAAAAGAAGATGTAACTATTCCCATTTTATTCTAGAGGACGGATGCTGAGGCATAGAGAACTAATTTACATGTCTAAGGTCACATAGCTAAAAAAAGTTGAAACTAGAATTTGGACCCAGGCAGTCTATCTCAGAGTTAACTTACACAAACACATTGGGTCCATTTCTGCTCCCTAACTTTTTGTGTATACATGTTTGATATTTTCTTATTTTGTAATTTTATATTTATTAATTGGTATTCCTAGAAGGCTAAGATAATTTTATTGTTTACAAAAATAGAGAGCATAACAAATCCACATTATTATATTTCTATTCATTAAGGTAATAAATTGACATTAGAGATAATAAATCCCATCACTCCAGTTCTACACCTAGCATAGTTTTGCAGCATTTGCTTCAATTATTTCTTTGTTTTCTTGAAGTACTTTGTTTTATTTTTATTGAGGTAACATTGACTTACATTATTGTTATATACCTCCCCTTCTGAAGTATTTTAGGGCCAAACCCAGACATCAAGAAATTTCACCTATAAATACTTAAGTAGAATCTCTTTTTAAAGGACTTTTAAAAATTATATTCAGGGGTCCTCCCTGGTGGCGCAGGCAGTTGAGCGCAGCTCTATGAAGCTGTCTGCAGCCTCTGCAGTACCAATTCAATCCCCGGCAGCCTCGGAGCAACCCACATGGCGAGCAGACCTCTCCTATCTCACCCGCTGCTCCCCTCAGCAGTGTATTTCGTCAGTCTGCCTGTTCTGTTCCCTGCTCTGTCTCTGGTGGATCCTCTCACCCTCCCGTGCATCTGGCCTGTTCCCCGGCTCTTATATAAATAAAAAATAAAAAAAAAATTTTTAAATTATAATCATACTACCACACCTAACAAAATTAATATTAATTACTATTTTCTTGATCATAAGTTTCTTGAGGGCAGAAATCATTTAACCTCCTTGATACCCAATGCACCTGCTGGAGTTTAGCAAATATTTGTTGTGATTTAAGAGTTCATTTTATTTTATTTTTTTTAAAGATTTATTTATTTTTGCATGCAAAAGCTGGGGTACAGGGCAGATATGTGGGGGGGGGGTGAGAGGATTCACC